GGCTGCTGCTGCTGCTGATGCTGCTGGTGCGGTGGTGGTGGTGGGAGAAGCTGCTGCTGCTGAGGATAGGGCGGCTGCTGCTGTTGCTGTCTCTTTGGCTCGCAGCAAACATTAGCATAGTGTCCCGGGCAGTTGCAGTTGTAACAGGTGCGCTGGCTAGCTAGGAACTCACCGCTGTGGGATTTACCGCATTTCTGGCAGGTTTGGCCGGTAGAAGGTCGGTTGTCACGCCTATCAAAGCTTACTTTCTTTCTCTTGCTCTTGTTCTTGAAGTCGGACTTCCTCTTACCCGAGCTAGAGCCGGGCGGCACGGTCGAGATGGGCTGAGCATACTGGATAGCCTGAGGAGGCTGAGAGGCAGGAGGATAAGATGGAATGGGAACAACCGGGATGAGACAGCTCTCCACTTCTTAAGCTCGGCTCACGGTATAAGCATAGGACATCGGTCCATGACTTCCCACCAACTCAGGGATCCTCTGGTTGAGACCCTTGAGAAATTTTCGGGCCTTCTTAGCATCAGTGTTCACCGCATCACCCGCAAAAAGGCACATACGGGTGAAAGTGCGGATGTACTCATCCACCGAGGAGCTGCCTTGCTGCAAGTGATAGAATTCGTGCTCCATTCTGTCCCAAAAGCTCTGGGGGAGGAACTTGTTACGCACCATCGTCTTCATTTGCTCCCAAGTGAGAGCATGAAGCTCCGCCTCGGGCTTCCGGGCCCAAAGCTCAATCCCCCAGTCTGAGGCATCTTCCTTCATCTAGTATGCCGCAAGAGACACGCGCTGACGGTCGGGGAGGGGGAGTACAACAAAGATTTTGTCCAGCTCCTTCATCCACTCAAGCACTGCTGTGGGGTTCTCAGTCCCCGTGAAAGTTGGCGCATTCATGCGCTGAAACTGAACGATAAGCTGAGTAAGGTCCATGGCCGGAGGGGCCTGGTGTTGCCGGGGCGGAGAAGGCTGCGGGGATGGTTGACGATTACGGTTGTTGTTGCGAGTATTCATGCTTCTACATTGAATAAGTCGAACGAGGTTTAGCACAAGAACAAACAAAATCACCAATACTTACTGAAGTCTAGAGTTTGCCAATTAAACACTAGAGTTCAATTAAATCATGGTGGATAGATCCTAAGCCCCAAATATAACAATTATACTACAAGTAGTTACCACATGCGATACATTTACATCTCAAGTATTTTCATTAATACTTAAATCATACATACCTTGAGCAGCGCGGAGTGACGGAGACGAGTGGTCATAATACAATGTCTAAATACATATTCACATATAAAACCTGTCTACAGAAACGCAGACTGGCTCTGATACCAAACTGTAACACCCCACTTTGATTTTACAGAAATTTCGAATTTTCCAAAAACCAGTATAAAATGTTCAAAATCATTTTCGAAAACATAGTGGGTGTTAACTAACATTTTTCATATCCCAAGTCTTATCTGGGCCTACGGGGTTTCATTACCCG